CGAAAAAAATTTCCCTGGAACCTAATCCCCCCATTTACATTAATTCTTATGGGGAAATTGGATTCGCTTAACATCGTTTCGCATAAAGTCGCATTTTTCAGGAACAGAACCACAACGTTAAGTGAGGAGTTACTGTACTTACATGTCAGTGTAGAGTCTATAGACCAGTATAAACAAGTCATTGTCTGTATGAAATTTTAGTTTGTACTGACTTTGCTAGTGCTTTATGTAGCTTGTGGTAAAACTAGGCAAATATCGAGATGAGTTGATCTACCCCTGGAAGACCTCTGTGTACCCCCAGAGTTGCACGTACCACTGGTTGAGATACACCCAGCGTTTAATACTCTAACCCAGTGGTTAAGTAGCCTGTGGACTCCTTGTGATGTGCACAGTATACGGATTCGGCTAGGAAGAGATTACCGTGGATACTCGTTCATAAGCCGAATATTTTTGGTAAAAAAAGTGACTCATCAAAGAGCGGGGGTTGGCTTATAAACGGGTCTCCACCAAAATCTGATGATTTTAAACTCTGTGGAATCATTGAATTGAATATCTAATACATTGTTGTTTTGGTTACTTGGAGCATCTGAGCCCCTCAGCTCCCTGTGGCCGCGGTTCGCCATTCCCAGCCAGTGGGAGCTGAGGGGCTCCGTGCCTGTGAACGCTCCAGGTAAACAAAACGTCCAGGCCTGCTAGCGGCTTACCCTGATGGCCGGGAGCCAAAGTTTGCCAACTCCTGAAATATAGGTTGGATTATGAAAGGGTCAGACAGTTTTTGCTATTTTAACCTAACCATCTTGGGGGGTCGGCTTATAAACGAACAGGCTAATGAACGAATATATACGGTATGTCTACTAAGCTGTGTGTATGTAGCTTGTCAACCCTTCTTTCGTTTGTCTTTTAGTGTCCAGCCCTCAGACAATCGTGGAATTATTTTTTCAGGAAGTGGCCAGAAAACACATAATATCTCACCTCTTCTCCCAGCCTAATACCTCTCTGAGTGAAACTAGTTTGAACTGGCCTCATCTGATCACTGCAATTGCCGCTGATCTCCTGCCACTCTTGTATCCTTGAATTATTAAGCCAGAGTGAAGGTGTGTCACACACCTGGGTGCTCAGCACCCAGAAGCTGGAAATAGGCACACGTCTCCCTGGAGAGCATGTGGAATGTCTCCCAATTAATGAGGCCAAAGCTGTCAACCCTGGGCTCCTGAATCCGTATTTAGCTCCCTAAGTAGGAGTGACCTGATCGCAGTTCACTTCAGTAGGATTTGTGAGTGTTCAGAACTTCTCAAAATCAGACCACCTTTTCCGTGCTCACACGTGGGTTCTAAACCCTTAACTTTATGCCCCCAGGTTTGAAACATTTGGCTTACATGCATGATGGGGGTGTAGTGGTGCTCTCTGAGGTGGTGGACTTAGCTGGACTACCGGTTTTGTCTAAGATGGGAAAACCCGTTACAGAACGACTTGTGTGAACGTTGAGCACCAGAGGCTCTCACGTTTCAAGCCTGTTCTTGAAGCTCTTCCCTGACAACGGAGGAATTGCTCTGTTCCTTATCTAATATTCAGATGGCCCAGTAATCCTGGCTTCCTCTTCCCAGAATGTTTGATGGGCAGTTGTCAGTACACCCAGCTACAGGTAAGCACGCTCGACACATGGCGAATGGTTTTGTCTCTTTAACAGCGTGTCTGATCCGTTTACTCTTGCAACCAGCAAAGAGCCAGTGGGGGGAGAGAACAGCTGAAGACCAGAAACTGGCTTGCATATCACGGAGCCTATTGTAACCAGATAGGGTAAGAAAACCTGACAGTCTTAGTGGGGGTTGAGACAACCTAATATGAAAGTATATTAAGGATGGTTTCACATGAATGTTCTCTCAGCCCCTCTTGCATCTGAAGATCACGCTGTCACAGTTCAGGGCTAGCACCTTTCACCCCTTTCAGCTTACAGGCTTCTTGCCTTCACCTGCCCTGGGATGTCCCCTCTAGGACCAGCCACAGAAGTAAATGTCAAAGGGATTGATACCCGCGTTGTTCTTTTAAGTAGAAGTACTTGGAAGGCTCTGAAAAATGTTTGTCCGCCCCTGCTGGAATTAACACCTGGTAACCATGGGGGAAACACAGTAACATTGAAACAGGTAGAACATATAATATTTAAAAATTAAACATCTTCCACATTCTTCTGCCACTCATAAACGTTAATCCTGAGATAGTCAGAAGTTAAGAATATAATGTCATTTGGGAGTAGCTCCTTGATAAATGTCAATAAATTGATTGACAAAGAGTCCTGTGGCACCTTATGCTCCAATACGTCTGTTAGTCTATAAGGTGCCACAGGACTCTCTGTCGCTTTTTACAGATCCAGGCTAACCTGGCTCCCCCTCTGATAATCAATTGATTATACAGCACAGACTGTGCAGGAAGTATTTGAAATTGATCTGCACAGAAGTTTAGTACTCTAGTTATTTTCAGCAAAGCCCAGAAAGGAGGCCTTAAGCTTTATCTGTGCAGTTTGTTAGTGGGGAGTTCTGCGTCTCGGGTCCCGTTCTCAGGTGAGATGCTGTAGGCATGTAGCATTTTCCCTTTTCGAGAGCTTGATAAAGTGACTATGCGGTGGTGTCACTAAAACTCAGGAATCTGAACCCCCAGACACCTGTTAGCTATTACATCATGGAGCTCACTATTGTCTGTAATGCAACAATGTAAACAGGTTAACTTCAAGTGCAGACATAGACTACTTCTGTGAGCCCATTTCAGTGGAGAACTGCAATTTCAGTCAGCGAGCGATGTACTGAACACACCCATTAGCCAAACATAGCATCCAGAATATGTCAGATAAACAAACTTTCCACCACCTGTTTCTCTCAGTGGGTTGGTAGCAATGTGAATGAGAAATTGTTTTCAATACAAGCTACTATTTCCAGGTGTGTTTCTGTGCATTACTCAATTCTCAGAATTACCTTCTGAACTATAACTTCATGCTCTTTAGCCAAAGGGATTTTTTCCCCCCAGTTGTTGCTTTTGGTGCTATAACTCTGAATTTTTTTTACTCTCCTACACTGAAAAACAGCATGTTTCTTTCACCGCACACTGATGGAAAATGTTAAAGTGTAGTGAGCTTGGAGGCCAGTCGCTACTGAATTATTCATGCCACACATTTTCTCTTGTACATTTTAGTAGGACTTAAACAGGCTCTTTGTCCCCGAAATGGATTACTTCTGGGGACGGGGATCAGCGTGTTGCAGTGTGTGCCCAAAATGGATTGCACCTGGGGCAGGGATCGGTCTGCTGCAGTTTATGTACAAAACCCCATATATTCAAACTGTCTAAAAGAATGTCAGAATTGCAAAGCATTCAGTTCAGGAAATGGCAAGGTTGTTTGTGCCACCTGATTTCTGCCTCCTTGTGTTTGTGTTATGGTACGGTCTTTGATTGCATGATCACGCACTCGTTTCCTGCAGGGCTGCTACCTTATTCATGTCCCAGAAAGGGCAGCAGGAAGATGTTGAACGTTTATTTTTATCCACTGTTTAAAAGTGGACTGTTCCTCACCCCCTGCAACCTTCTGCTCCATCCCCCAAAGGCCTACATGTAACCTTGGTTTATATGGATGTAAATTTGGAGCAAACTCAATGAATTTACTCCAGATTTACATCCTGGCGATCACAAATAGAATGTTACCCAAAATAAGAGACAGTTAGATTCCCTGACCCCACTACTGAATGAGGGAAGGGTGGGACCAACATGTAGACAGGAAGGATGGCTTAGAAGTTAGGGGGCTAGTTTGGACTCAGGAGATGTAGGTTCAAGTCCCTTAGTATGTCTTTGCCTCTGTTCCCATCTGGAACGGGATGAACACATTCAATGTGGGACAGTCTGATACTAGAATAGTGGGGGCAGGATAAGTACCATAGGTAGGTAGAACACAGGTGACTATGTAGCTACATTCTTTCGATGCTTATGCACAAGGGTTTAGAGCGAAGTTTCCCAGCACCGTCTTACCTTTCCCTCAAACGTATGTTCTTTCAGCACAGTTTTAAAATGTAATCTTGTCTTGTGAAAAAGGGAAACAGAAAAGAGAGCGAGAGCTGGCACTGTTTGCTAAAGGAGTGTTTCTAAGCTGGTGGGTCGTGAGCCCCAGGGGTCCCACAAAGCAAGCTGTGGGGGGAAGGACATGAGCCTTTATATACCAATCTAAAGCAAAGACTATCTGGTTCCCTCACTCGCCGCACACCCTGACCCCTCAAGGTCAAATGTCCTCTGCTGACTTCTTGAAGTCACACAAATACATTACATGACTTCTTGAATGCACACAAATACATTACATTACATAGACCTGTCAATATCACTGATACTTTTTTTACTCTTTTTTTATAATAAATGTAATGCGAAAATTTGTGACTGAAAGGCTTGCCAGCCCAAAAAGGGTAGGCAATACTGTGCTAGACTGCTGGCCATGTGTCCGTGTGCACTGAAGTAGGGCTCCTTCTGACCCACCTGTATGCTGTGTGCCAGATACCTCATTCTAAACCCTCCTGCACAGTGAATGTGACGGGGTTGTTCTATAGACATACATGGTGCCGGTGGGACGGAGGAAGATTGTTAAACCCTTATTAGGAGTGAGCTTGCATCAAATATTTGTTGACCCTTTTTAACTCCGCCAAATCAAAATGGCTTTTCATCCCACTCTCCAGAGGCACCCATCTGATGCGGGGCATATTCAAATGCTAAATTTCCAATTCCTGTCACCTCCCACTGAGAAGCTGGAGCTGTTCAGATTAGGTCATTTACTGATGGCAAGTGTGTGTGGGAGTTTCCACCACCACCTTTGTGCTGAAAGCAGCTGAACCACTTTTGTTCACGTGCATTTTTCCCATGGAGATTCCCAACCCGGAAGATCTGTCTAAAAGGGGTGTGACTGTTACAAGCACCTGAAAAGGGCCCTTTGGAACGGAAACACGTAGGTGCCGTTAACTAGAGTTGTCGCTAGACACTCTGCTGATAACACACCTCACACTTGCCATTAAGATTCCTCGTTTGCAAATGACGTCTGGAAATAGGATCAGCAGAACATGGTCAGCACCCTGGTGCCCTGCGTTAATCTTAGTACTGTAGTTACAGCATGCCACTCAAGTAGCATTGCAAGAATCCAAAGCTGAAATCCTCAGTTTTTCTCTGGTAAAACAGGGACTATCTTGCCTGAATACAGGGGCGTGTTGGTTCATAATCAGCGTTAAGGGAATGTTAAAGCTTTTGTGTCTCTGATCAGAGGATGCCCTTTGTCTCTTAGGAATACATTCGCCTGCTGCAGCCCTGGTGTCACGTGAACGTGGGTTCCTGTCGCTTCTTGATGGGAAGATGTTACCTTGTTATGGGCGAGGGACACAAGGTACAAAACAGCTTCACTGCTTCCCAGAGTGGAGCATTGCTTCATGTGCGGGGTTCAGTGGTGGCTGTGTGGATCTGGACCGTCCCACTTACCTGACCGTCGGTTACATTCTGTTCCTAGGGCTAGAAGATGTGTTGCTCAGAAAGAAATGCAAAACTCATTTCTTTAGCGTAGCTTTCCCTTGGATTTTCTCAAACCCACTCACTGATATACACAAGTGTACAAACCGAGATGAGCTATTCCTCCTTCAGACGGGAAAAGGGCAAGGGAAAATTGTTTTTAAATACCTGGGAGGCTCTGAGACCCCCATGGAAACACATAGCTAGCAAGGGCTTAATGGATTGGCCCATGGTGACCCTGCGTAGCCTGGTGCAGAACCAAGCTGTCCTGTTCACCTGTATTCTGGATTGAGTCAGTTGCCTGAGAAAGGGAGTACTTAGCAACTTTATTTGTCGTCCAGGCTCTGGACTGTTTCTGTCAGGCTGCATCTGAAGTTGGAAAAGAGGAGTTCTTGGACAGGCTGATCCGAGCTGAGGACGGCGAGATGGCTTCCACCCCGCGCCTGCAGTATTATGACAAGGTATTGCTGCCATGATAGTACAGCAACTTGGTGCTTGCTATGAAAGTTTGGTTGCGGACGCTGCCAAAGCAGCCAGTCTTCGTACTTCGTGGCAGGCCTTCCCACCGCTGCCACCATGTCAGGGTTCCCTCCCCACTTTGAACTTTAGAGTACAGATGTGGGGACCCACATGAAAGACCCCCTAAGCTTATTTCTACCAGCTTAGGTTAAAACTTCCCCATGGCACAAATTTTTCCTTGTACCTTGGATTAGATAAACGCTGCCACCACCAAGTGATTTAAACAAACATTTAGGGAGGGCCACTTGGAGCCCTATCTCCCCCCTAATATCCTCCCAAGCCCTACACCCCCTTTCCTGGGGAGGCTTGAGAATAAACAAGATGAGCACAGACCAACCTTGGGGTTTTTTAGGACACTAAAAAAACCAATCAGATTCTTAAAAAAAAACAACAGATCTTTATTAGAAAGAAAAAAAGTAAAAGAAGCACCTCTGTAAAATTAGAATGGAAGATAATCTTACAGGGCAATCAGATTCAAAACACAGAGGATTTCCCTCTGGGCAAAACTTTAAAGTTACAAAAAGAAAACCAGGAATAT